CCATCCCCTTTGTGGAGGACTTAGTTAACCAGCACCCACTTGACCTGTTTGTGCGATGGCGCCACCAACAAGGGCTGGACATGGAGGGCAGCTGTAACCCAGTGTTGGCAGCCCCTTCAGTGCGGCAGAAGATGAGGACGGCAGAAGGTCAGCAGGTGGGAGCGATCAACCACAGAGCGGCGCTGGCCCCTCTTCTGCCCTTTCACCTTCAGCCAGACCAGCATTTCGAGCAAGCCCTTCAGCTTAGCATGCAACTGTTGCCTACTGAGGGGCTTCCTATTTTGGACGAGGACCTGAGGTTTGCTGCATCTTTCTCTAGCCTGCCAGGAGTTGACCTGCGCAGGTTGCGAGAGCGCGCCATGGGCATCTTATCTGAGATGAAGAGACGGTGGAGCTCGATCACGGCCCATTTGAGACGCAAACAGACTGAGGCCATCAGGGCGGCAACAATGCAACGTGACATCGGCTTCACTGCAATTCTCCTTCTTGTAGCCAATTGGGGTGACGTGACACTGCCAGCAGGCCTGTGTATGGGGCTTCCAGCAGTGGGGTACGCGCCGCCATATGGCATTTTTCCGGAACAAGTTGCCACCCGTTTGACAAGAGAGGAGGTACTCCGGGACTGGCAGAGCCACAACACCACCATTTTGGCTCGGCTCAAGCCAGGTGCCGATGATGAGTTTTTGTTGCAGCAAAGCCTTAAAGATGCCGAGAAGGGTTTTTGTGGATTGCCCATGACTGCAGAGGAACTGCAGCGTTGTCTGGGTGCGGAACCCTACCGGTTGATCCCTCGATGCGTCATCACACAATCCTCGGGGAAGCAACGAGTGATTGACGACGCCTACGTTGGTTTGCAATCTGAGCGTTCCAGTGACGCGAACAAGCTCACCCTTTGCTCAGCGTTGCGGCCGGCCCAACACCTGCAGTATGCCTACGCCTTTGGGAGGTCACCCAACTGGGAGGCAGAAGAATGGGAGTCTGGAGGTGAGGATTGGCCGGATGCCTATCGTTTTTGCCCTATGAGCTGGGATGAGGCGTTGTGCTGCATTGTGGCTTTCTTCCATCATGAATGGCAACAACCAGCGTTTATGATTTACACAGGTTTGCTATTTGGTCTTCCTCTTGCGGTCACATCGTTCAATCGATACAGTCGTTTTGTGGAGGCTTTATCACGTCGATTTGCCTTTTGTTTGACCAGTCTGTATTTCGATGATGCTCACTTGACAGACCGCAAATCGTGCCGAGGATCAGGTCAGAGAGCTTTGCAGACCCTCAACACCCTTTTGGGTACACCGTTTTCCGAGGAGAAATGTCAGAAGATGCAGAGTACCGGCACCTTCCTGGGCCTGGATCATGACTTCAGTCAAGTCCATTTGAAGTGTCTGGTTCAGTTTTGGGCCCGTGAACGCATTGAGACCAAGCTGCTTCATCTCATGCAAACTGCCGAGGAATCCGGCAAGTTGCAACCAGGGGTGGCAGCCAAGCTCTACGGTATCGCCAACTTCTTTGAGCTTGGCGTGTGGGGGCGTATTGGCTGCGGTGGCTTGGCCCCAATCAAGCACAGACAGCAGGAGCGCTCCACAGAGTTAACTGAGGAGTTGCGCCAGAGCTTTGACCTGCTACGCACTATCATCACCACCCGTCCCTCTCGCCACATTGAGATCTGGCCACATACAGGGCTCCGCTTCCTTGCTGCTTCGGATGCTGCGTTGGAGAGCCCAGGTCAGGGGACTGGGGGCTTTTTGGTGGTATGGCATGACGATCACCGGCAACACCGAGAGGCATTTGTCTCTCTCATCCCCCCATTGGTGTACAGCCTATGGGAGCCTGGTGACAAGAAGATTGCCCAGTTAGAGCTGCTGCAAGTGCTCTATGCTTTGTTTTCTCGGCCGTCCAGATTTCGAGGCAGACGAGGGCTCTGGTTCATCGACAACACGGCAGCGTTGATGGCATTGATCCGAGGTCGTTCTGACAATGCAGATTTAGAGCATATGTCACGGTTGATTCATATTACTCTTTTTGGTCTTAAGGCTTGGTTTTTCTGGGAGTGGATCCCTAGCAAGGCCAACTGGTCTGATGAGATCAGCCGTGAAGGCCTCCAGGCAACATGGCACAAGAGCCATGGGTTCACCACGCATTTTGCATTTTTCCCCTTCGAGATCTGGTCTCTACCACTTCCCGCGTTTCTCCGGGTTGTGGAGTTTCTCTGAGTGCTTTGGGATGAAGTGCATTGGGAGAGATTCAACCTGTGTAGCCTCCTGAGTTTACAGGAGTGCGGAACAGGGTGTACGGATCCAACCAGTGCTGCTGTGCAGGAGACTACCTGCACAGCGTTCCAAAGCACTATCCTGCGAGGAGCAGGTTGAGACCGCACGAAGAGTTTGGGAAGAAAAAGCCATGCGGATGTGAGCCTGGATAGAGTGAACCTTTTGAGTATCTATGCTTTACATCTCACAACTAATGTATGTATGCATCGTGTTTGGCAGGCACTGGGTGTGCATTATCATTAGAGTGAGTATGTAAGCTGATGAATCCATTTTGGCTCAAGTCTGAGCCAAACTGGCTTCATCGTTCTTTCTTTTCCCTCCCTTCCCTCCCTATGAGGTAGGACTCCGGTGGAGTATCCTCCCTTGTAGGGGATCACATCATTGAGGATGCTGATCTCTACGTGGAGTCCCACGACTGTAGCACTGGGTGGGAGAGATTCAACCTGTGTAGCCTCCTGAGTTTACAGGAGTGCGGAACAGGGTGCACGGATCCAACCAGTGCTGCTGTGCAGGAGACTACCTGCACAGCGTTCCAAAGCACTATCCTGCGAGGAGCAGGTTGAGACCGCACGAAGAGTTTGGGAAGAAAAAGCCATGCGGATGTGAGCCTGGATAGAGTGAACCTTTTGAGTATCTATGCTTTACATCTCACAACTAATGTATATATATATATGTACAACAGCTTGCACCTGGAAGGGTTTGGGCCGGGGATCACCTCTGCTCCTTTGAGGCCTTTGCATTGATCCGGGCTGCCCGAATGATGGAGGCCCTCGTCTTCATCCAAGTCTGGTGCATGCCTGGTGCTTTTTGGATGTTTTTTCGGGAGCGACGTGACGGTGATACTCAGAGTCCAGGCTGAAAGAAAGCAGAACAAAGAGCTCAAGGACTGAAAGAACTGCTGAATTCCTGGTGGTTTTTGGCGGTGTACCATGGATCTCTTAAGCATTGACAACATTTTTTCGTGCACGGAAGGCATTCCGAAGGGTAACTATACAATCATGGTGCATGCAACCCCATCATTTTCAAGACCATCAACTTGTCCTCTAAAAAAACCTTTTGTCATGTGTGGTTACCAGCTGATATAACACAGTTACCAGCTACGGCATGAAATTCCCTAGGCACCTTGGCCTGGTTAGGAGAAGCCGCTGAATCCCAAGTTATTGAACCTGATTCGACACGCGCCAGCCTGAGCTTGCTGGCCTACCAAGACATGTTATATATTCCATATATATTCCATATATATTCCATATATATTCCATCCATATTCCATATATATTCCATATATATTCCATATTCCAACAAATTGTTGGAGACCTGGAGCCAGACGTATCGCGATCGGGATCAATCCTCAGGTTGAAAGCATCGTAATTGCTGCAACACATCCACGGGGAGGCGCTGGCGCAAACGGAAAACGGTGAAATAGTGACGGTTCCTGGATTTTGGGAATACCCTCTGGTAAACTAACATAACTATGGAAAATCACAATTTTTAATGTGTAAATCAACTATTTCTATGGCCATTTTCAATAGCTATGTTAAATTACCAGAGGGTATTTTTGGTCAAAAAACACGCAAACCCAAGGTGAACCAAAGGTGCTCTTAAAGGATGGGGGTCGAGATTCACCAAAATGAAATGGTCGATGAAGAAGGGCCTGGGAGCCCAGTCTCACCCGGTTTCCATCTCTGAGAGTAAAAGCGCATGGAATTTCGAGTTTCAGATGGTTTTCCCTTAAAGCAAGCCATTGACAGATCCCAATCTTGACCGGAGAGGCAGCTTCGACCACACAGCTGATCCTGATTTGGAGGACCCATCAGCCCAGATATGGACATCCACTGCAACAGATGGGGATTTGAAAAGTCCCTTCCCCGTGAAATCCGTGATCTCCACCCAGAAATCCCACCAAGTTGAGGTCCCACATGTTTGGGTTTATTGTTCTGGGGGACGGGAATATTGCGGAAGAAGAAATCTGCAATCCACGTTTCGGACATCTTGCTGCAAATCTTCAAAAGAAGAGTTTCAATTATATATAGATAGAACGTTTTTGAATAGATTTTTCACTTCTGGGTTTCCCAATCATCTTTCCATAGTCCCATATTCCCATATTCATCCCCATGGTGGGTTTCAAAAACACAATTTTTGTTAAGTCCAGGCGGGGGGACCAGTATACCAGGACTCTTCCTCTGACGAGTCCAAGGTGGAGGAGAACACGCTCGGCTTCAACCTGGAAGAAATGGGGATTTAGATCTAGTATGGTCTAGTCAGTCTAGTTCATCACCAAAAAGTGGGTGTAGGTGTCCCGAGTTCGAGATCGTGGCTGATGAACAAGAGGCAAATCACGTACATTCTTTTGCACAAGAAACAGGTAAATCAGTTTTTTTTTCCAAACTATCCCCCAGTCATTGGTTCACACCCGTCACGTGATCTTTGGTGACTATTGAAGTCCCAGGCTGTGATTCTGTTGCTGAAATTTCTGGTCATTTTTTAAAGGGAAAATAACACATCATCGTGAACCATAACCATGGAACGGTGGGGTATAAAGTATAAACAGTTTTGAGACTGCGACATGTTCAGGACCAGGGCTTGCACATGGCTTGGACTTTATCTTCGATTTCCTGGGCTTTGGGCTTGTTGGGCCAGCAGCTAAGAAAGCGAGGGCAGCCACAGCTGCCCTGCCCGGTGTCCGGTGTGTCCGGTGGGATGGGTCACCGAGGTTATAGAAATGAGAAGCTTCTCATAAGCCTGGCCAGGACAGCATCGTGATGGGGGGCTATGGCTTAAAACTATGTTGGATATGTTGGTCTTTGACCACAATCAGCAAATATGATGGTTGAAAAACACCAAATATCAGGCCAAAAACCAGCAGATTGAGACTTGTATCCTCCAGTAATGTCATAAATCATAGCAATGGAGCATCTTCCATTTCTACATGATTTTCCAACAAAAAAGCTTGCATTTAGTTCGTGCATTTCCCAGCTGGCCATCCATGGCATCCATGGCATCCATGGCCGCAGTTTGGTGAAGCCGGTCTTTCCACATTTCAGCCCCCATCAACTCCAGCACCTTGGAAATGAAGCTGGGGGAGCTGGGATAAGGGTCACAGGATGCAATGGTAGCAAGCCCCAAAAAGACAGAAATGTCATGAATATATATATATATATATCATATGTACTATAATTACACGTACAATCATGATCAGGAAAAAAACATATTCGTGAACATAGGCCAAAAGACATGGACATGTAGAGAATGTAATTATAGATCATACTGTAGATGGACAAAGTCATTCACCAGTTGATGACTATTGGTAGCTATGAATCACTGCAATTTTCATGGGATAATAGGATTTTGCCCATGATACATAAACCATCTACCAACTGGTGCAGGATTTCTTCCATGGTTCCACCGATGACTGGTGAATTTGCTTAGGAACTGCCTTTGGGTCTTTGCCTCTTTGGGCATGAAGGACCCCGGGCCCTTCTTCGAGGCTGCAGTGGACAGCATCGAGCAGAGCGTCTCGGCGGGGAAGCCACTGGTTAGGCAGGGTGCACTTTTTTTCCGAAGCCCCAAATTTCAATGATAGCATATGGTTTAATATGGTTTAATATGGGTTACTATGGTTTAATATGATAATTGAAGTGAGAACTAGCCTAATTGGCCCTAAATTTCTCCATATTTGGCACATAATGGCACATGACAAAGAAGCCGCCTCGGAAACGAGTAAGGACAACAGCATGGCCTACTGAACACTGGATGGACATTCATTTTTTCCCAGGGGAGTTGGAGAGGGGTTGGACATCCCCTTTTTCATTGGAGACCTCCGGCAATCTGACCTGGCAAGCTGGAAAATCTCGCATTTTTTTTGAATCCGATAATCCATTTACTGTATGGAGGGATTATAGATGATTCTCCCATCATGATATTTCCCTATGTTTTCATTGCCAAGGTAAATTGATATGCGGGTAACCCAACTATCATCACTTGAAGATGGTCGTTGGTAGTTCCTCCAGTGGAACCGGATGATCTTGAAATGGGGACAACGTCATGGGCTAAGCCACTTCTCGTCGCGCCCAGGAATTGGTGATTTTAGTAACGAGAGTTTAGTGGCTATCCTCACGTCCTTCGCCAAAGTGAAGGCCGGCTCCGGCCATTTTTTTGGGCGAACATCGGAGGATTTTCCCATAATTTGGAGAGTTCACCAACATTTTTTGGGCGTTGGTTGAGACTCCGGTGGGTCCAGAGGATCAAATGTGGGATCCACACCAAAAGTTTGTTGCGGCCCCGGCATCACAATTTGTCCATGGTGCAGGCCTTCAACTCCAACCTCTTCGGTGTCGCGGCAGAGGCCGGCGCAAAAAATAGCGATTTGAAGCTGCGACGGACTGTATCATGGGACAAACAATTATCTATGTATCTAATTATATCATATCTATAGTCTATAGCTATTTGACTATCCAGTTTTCTATCTATCAATCTATAACTGATATTCTCTATGTATAAGTTATCTATGTATAGTCTATATTGATCTGTCTACAAGTGGAATTATCTATGTATTTGATGTATGTATGTATGTAATGTAATGTAATGTTATGTTATGTTATGGGTTATGTTATGGTATGTTATGGGTTATGTTATGGTATGTTATGGGTTATGTTATGGGTTATGTTATGGTATGTATGTATGTATGCATGCATGCATGTTGGTATGGTATGGTATGGTATGGTATGGTATGGTATGGTATGTATGTATGTATGTATGTATGTATGTATGTATGTATGTATGTATGTATGTATGTATGTATGTATGTATGTATGTTATGTTATGTATGTTATGTATGTTATGTATGTTATGTATGTTATGTATGTTATGTATGTTATGTATGTTATGTATGTTATGTATGTATGTTATGTATGTATGTTATGTATGTATGTTATGTATGTATGTTATGGTATGGTATGTTATGGTATGGTATGTTATGGTATGCTATGTTATGGTATGCTATGTTATGTTATGTTATGCTATGTATTGTTATGTTATGTAATGTTATGTTAGGTAATGTTATGTTATGTTATGTAATGTTATGTAATGTAATGTTATGTTATGTTATGTTATGTATGTATGTATTAATGTATGTATGTAATTAATGTATGTAATTAATGTATGTATGTAATTAATGTATGTATGTAATTAATGTATGTATGTAATTAATGTATGTATGTAATTAATGTATGTATGTAATTAATGTATGTATGGTATGTATGGTATGTATGGTATGTATGGTATGTATGGTATGTATGGTATGTATGGTATGTATGTATGTATGGTATGTATGTATGTTGGTATGTATGTATGTATGTATGTATGTATGTATGTATGTATGTATGTATGTATGTATGTAATGTATGTAATGTAAGTAATGTATGTAATGTAATGTAATGTAATGTTATGTAATGTTATGTAATGTTATGTAATGTTATGTAATGTTATGTAATGTTATGTAATGTTATGTAATGTTATGTAATGTTATGTAATGTGATGTAATGTTATGTAATGTTATGTAATGTTATGTAATGTTATGTAATGTTATGTAATGTTATGTAATGTTATGTAATGTTATGTAATGTTATGTAATGTGATGTAATGTGATGTAATGTGATGTAATGTGATGTAATGTGATGTAATGTGATGTAATGTGATGTAATGTGATGTAATGTGATGTAATGTGATGTAATGTGATGTAATGTGATGCAATGTTATGTAATGTGATGCAATGTGATGCAATGTTATGGAATGTTATGCAATGTTATGGAATGTTATGCAATGTTATGCAATGTTATGGAATGTTATGGAATGTTATGGAATGTTATGGAATGTTATGGAATGTTATGGAATGTTATGGAATGTTATGTAATGTTATGTAATGTTATGTAATGTTATGTAATGTTATGTAATGTTATGTTATGTAATGTTATGTAATGTTATGTACTGCTATGTACTGCTATGTACTGCTATGTACTGCTATGTAATGTTAT